AGAATAGGCAATTTAATATAAACCGTCTCAAGTGATTGGCCAAACCTGACTAAGGTGATTTAAATAGTATGACAAATTGACTGACAGCTCTTCAAATTATGCCACGACTTTTAGTAGAAGCCTCTCATTTTCCACAAAATAATTCAATATTCCTCACAAAAGGAAGAAGGCAGTTGTCATTTTTTTTAGCCAACATAAAGTGAAGGGAGGACAGGGTGACAAATTGCCTGCTATGTAACCTGTGCTCAATATTGAAAAATATCTAGTTGCATGGAAGATGAGGTGGACTATTAAGTTGAGTCTTCAAGGTTTTTTTTAAAATTTCATCAGATTGTCAGATTCAATAAGAAATGGTTTGTTTGATTTGCGAATAAAACTTGATCATTTGTTTGTTGAACTGTCGCATTCCTGGCAGGGAATAACATCTACAATAATAAATAATCCTTGCATTTGATATAGCGCCTTATCACGTCTTCGAGATGTCTCAAAGCACTTCACAGAATATACTGTAAAGTGACACTATCTCTTAATACTGAGTGTGAAGCTCTCTGAGATGCTACCCTGCATGAAGGGTGCTATATAAATGCAACTTGTTGTTTCTGAGTCCTGCCATGGTGCAACGTTTTGTCAGGTGCTTTTTCCCAATCCATTTGTGAAAGGATCTTATTTGACATGCAGGATTGTTCTTATCCTTGTTCATAGCTCCTCATACCATCTGATGTGAATTCCACCTAATCCATTTAAGCAGTGCATTTTGGGGGTTTATTTCAGAAGTTTCCTCCAGAATTCTTCCATAATATTTTGGGGGAAGCTTCAGTCCTCAAACCGTCAATAGTCTATTTCCTAGACTAGGAAATAGACTATTGACGTCTATAGTCAAAGTGTGTTCCACAGTGTGAATATATTGGTTTGAATTTGAGTTCTTATAGTAATAATAATCCTTACATTTGATATAGCACCTTATTACATCTTCGAGATGTCTCAAAGCACTTTGCGGAATATACTGTAAAGAGATTTGACTGTATATTTTGTGGATGAAAAGCACAGCACTTAATTTCTGACAACATTCATGTTCCTATAAGTATTTGGGATCAGCTGCTCATTTATTTTAGGGCAAAAATCAATGTTGCAAAGATATGCTAGTCCGATGATTAAGGTTAACCTATTACATTTGATTCCCCTTTCACTCCACTACCACCCACAAATGGCTATAAATTAGGCTCAAACTTGGACAGTTAACAACAGCAACAAAATTACATTACTCAAACAGTTGCCGTTTCAAATAACATTCTGGGTGCTTAGCCAGATTGCATGAATGTGACAAAGTAGGATTAACTTGTTTTCTTGAATCTTGAATTACCATTAATGGCAAAAGACTCAATTATTAAAACAGCAGTGCAGTTTGACACACTTGCTGCTCTTCTGAGACTTGCCAATTAGTGCCATGTATGGATAGTTTTTGCATTTACACAATCTACTGTTTTGAATCTGCCCTAACTTGTTTCACTTAGGACTCCTGTATTCATCCTTCTGAAACATAAATTCTGAACTGGAGTTCAACCTTACTCTCATTACCTCAGTTTAGAGCTGTTACTCTTCGCATTTTTGTATCAGCATGACAAGTTAATGAGTCATTATTTTTGTTGCCTGATTTAACACTTGTGTATACAAGACAAGGCATGGCATGAGAACAGGCCATTTGCTCCATCAAACCTGCTCCCTCCATACAAAACCTAATCGATTTAACTCAATTACTGCTGGAAAGTTACAAAATTGAGACTTGCTGGTCATTCAAATGCTACATTCAAATGCAACAGAAGAATTGCTAAAGGGTTTGGCATCTTTAAGGATAGTCCTTTCTGTCTGTCTGTCTGTCTGTCTGTCTGTCTGTCTGTCTGTCTGTCTGTCTGTCTGTCTGTCTGTCTGTCTGTCTGTGTCTGTCTGTCTGTCTGTCTGTCTGTCTGTCTGTCTTGTCTGTCTGTCTGTCTGTCTGTCTGTCTGTCTGTCTGTCTGTCTGTCTGTCCCTGTCTGTCTGTCTGTCTGTCTGTCTGTCTGTCTGTCTGTCTGTCTGTCTGTCTGTCTGTCTGTCTGTCTGTCTGTCTGTCTGTCTGTCTGTCTGTCTGTCTGTCTGCCTGTCTGTCTGCCTGTCTGTCTGTCTGTCTGTCTGTCTGTCTGTCTGTCTGTCTGTCTGTCTGTCTGTCTGTCTGTCTGTCTGTCTGTCTGTGCCTGTCTGTGCCTGTCTGTGCCTGTCTGTCTGTCTGTCTGTCTGATTCGTTATCAGTTGCAGGTCAAAGTGGCTTTTAAAAAATAATTCAGGTTTTTTCCCTAATGGGAAATAGTTCCTATGGGAACAGAAAATAAGTTGGTCATTCAATCCACGATTGTTTGTGGGACACTGTTGTGCACAACGGACTACAGTGTTTCGCCCCAAAATAATCAATCCACTTTTACAATATATATTCTTTGCAGCACTTTGAGACATCTCAATGATGTAATAAGGCGCTATATCAAATGCAAGTATTATTATTTTGTACAATTTCATATAACCAAGAGCAGCAATCCATAAGTTGAAAAAGCCAGCCAGCCATCAGTACTGTTGTTTCAAACAGGTAGCAGAATCAACTTAGTCTTTCGGTGAGACATTAAACTGAAATCTTGTCTGCCTGTTCAGGTGGTTGTTAAAGATCCCGGGACATTACTCAAAAAGAGAAGGGAGTTTCCCCCGGTGTCCTGACCAGCAACATAAAGTATTATCTTTCATTTCATGATTGTTTGTTGGACATAGTTGTGCACAAATTTGGTTTCTACAAAATGCAGTCACTACATTTCACAATGAATCCTGTGAAGTACTTGATATGTCCCACCGGCATGAAAGGTGCTAAATCAAATTAAGGATTATTACAGTAAATTCGTGATAACTAGTCACTCAAAGAGAAAAGGGCTCAGTGACAAATTCCAGGAGTTGTGAGTTAGGCACATGTATACCAACAAAAAAGAATACATTTGTACAGCATCTTTCACATCGGGTTGAGGGGAGGAATGTCCCAAGGACTGGACAGTTAATGATTTGCACTTGAGCTGGGGGATGGGATCAGGAGGGGTAGAGGGTTTGGGAAGGAATCTGACCAAAGGAGCAGTCGAAGAGGAGGGTCTTGAGACGAGCCTTTGATGGAGCAAGGTGAAGGGACTGTGGGATGGAGTTCCAACGGGTGGAGAGCCAGTGGAGCCAGGCGAGGATGGTGGTGATAAGTTCACGGAACTTGTACCTATCACTCCCATCCTTGCCCGACTCCATACATAAATAAATGTGACCAGGATATTGGCAGCATGATGACTTAAGTAGTATTGACAAGTTAAGCCAGGGTCAAGTTAACAGGAGTTTACATCATGAGTAGTGAATTAGCATTCAATATTCAGACACACTTAATTGCATGCAGAGCCATAGAAAAAGCATAATCGAACAAATACCATGTTTAGCTAAGGTTGTTTGGTGGAATATTTAAATTCACAACTGTTGTTGCAAAACCTTGGTGCTGTTTGAGCGTTGTTCCACTTTGTGAATCAGCTTGTCACTTTTACTGCACTGGTATTGATGGTGGTGAAGCAACAGAACAATTGTTTGAAAAATGTCTGCTGTTGATTGCCATTTTGACCTTGTTGGACAGAGTAGAGGTAGCAAGACAACAAAAGAATAAGGTGGCACTACAAAAATAAATTATGATAGGCACCCAATGGAAGAAATGTTCAACAACTTGCACTTGCTATGCGCAATGGTTGTCTCGTTTCTCCGACAAAGTATAAAGTCAATTCATTTTGCAGTGTATTCTGTGAAGCACTTTGACACTTCTCAATGATGTGATAAAGCGCTATATCAAATGCAATGAATATTATTATTAATAGTAATAATAATAATTACCATAGGAATACCTTATTTTGTTTACTTTTACCATTGTTGCCTCCATTCTAGTGTTGTCCTATTAAAAGTCTACAAATATTGCCTGCTTCACAATTTACTGACAAATTATGTTTTTTTCCATTAAAAGGCTATATTTCAAATTCTCATCAAGACTTTTTTAAACTTTCTCTGGGAAAATCTTTGTGTTCTGGATTGGGGAAAATACCATTGTTCTGGAGAGCACTTGCCTTTCAAGCGAGAGACCTGGGTTTGATTCCCGGGCAGGGCGAAACGTTGGACAAGTTTCCTTACTCAATATGCCTCTGTTTACCTAGCAGGAAATAGGAACCTGGTTGTCAGATGATTGATGGATCGCTTTTCCGGGGGTAATAATTCCTTCAAAAAATAATAATAATGAATTGGTCACTTGAATCCACAACTGTTTGTGGGACACTGCTGTGCACAATTGGCACATAAAATATACAATCAATTCACTTTACAGTATATTCGGTGAAGCGCTTTGAGATTTCTTGAAGACGTGATAAAGTGCTATATCAAATGCAAGGTTATTATTATTATCTTTTGTGACCTTTCAGTTTTATTAAAAAAACTCTTAATTAGAGGTAAGGACAATGTGGCCACAGTGTCTCAATGAGAACATTAACCATAGAAAGACATTGCATGACAGATAAAACTAAACCTAGGCAAATGTGAACAAAGGCCAGAATTATAGTATTACTTCAGATATACAATGGTTTTAATCCTGTGTATTTTAGGTGAGATTCCAGATTTAATAGAAATTCATGGTAATTTTGGACTGTGAGCTCATGTCTACTGGTAACTGGACTGATACTCCCAGACTTCATTTCACTTTGGGTCCTTGCAACCAGTATTAAGAGGAGACTTCCATTCAATTAATCTGGGTTTCAGACCACTTCTCAGGAATTATTTTTTAAAATCCTGACGCTCAGATAAAATGATTCTGATAAGATTGCTGTGAAGCATTACTGAAATTGCTTCTAGATGGGGAACAAATGTGAATAAACTATTGGATTTCTGCATTCTGGTTGTTGTGATTCACCTAACATTTATTTTCTTTTTAAAGGAACGACGGCTGAAAGAAAAAGCGAAAAAGGTTTCCAGAAAAATAGAAGTAAGTTTTTTTTTAAGTATGAATTATAGCTTGTTTCCAGCTGTGGGAACTGCCCACTTTAAATGCATTACATAGGAGCTTTTAGTGAAGGGCAGGATCAGGAAAGCTACATGCATCACTGAGCATCAGTGGACTGAAATTGTTTTCTCCTCTTAAATGTATACCATCTATATGCCTTTGAACTGTTGAGTTAGCAGCAAATGTATGCAGGTGACAGCCTAGCTCAGTTGGTAGCACTCTTGTCTCTTGGTCAGAAGGTTGTATGTTCAAGCCCCACGTTGGGACTTTTAGCTGATAATCTAGGCCAATGGTGGACAATCTTCATGGTTGGCCAACAAAATAAATGTTCTTAATTACATATCTCTTTGATGTATGCTGGAATCAGTTAAGAAAAAAATTGAAAATACACTGTCTATCAAACATACTCTTGACGTCCCCGTGGGCCATAGGTTGGCCAACACTGGTCTACGCTAACACTCTAATGCAGTGATTAGGTTGCACTGCTTTGCTAGATATGCTGTTCTTTGGTTTAGGTGTTAAATCAAGGTCCTATCTGCCTGTTCAGGTAGATGTTAAAAATCCCATGTATTGTTAGTGCTGACCTACTTTAATCATTGATTCTCTAGTTTTTTTTAAAAAAACTTAACATAACAAATTCTCATGACACTATTCAAAAAGAGAAGAGAGTTCTCAATAATTCTCCTGATATAGTTTGGTCATTGATTTCATGGCTGTTTGTGAGATATTGCTGTGTGCAAATAGGCTGCAGTTGCTCATAAATAGTCATTATGCTCTTCAGAAACTTTATGAAGCACTTTGAGACATTATAGGCCCTATATCATCAAATGGAACAAACTCCCTGTATCAATCCCTCTGGCTAACCCCAGTATTTATTTTTAAAGCTTACCATAAGACCTACCTCATTGATCGCGCCTACGGTCAGCTTCCCTCTTGATGGCCAACCACAATAACCACTTTGCAGTGTTCTGAGATGCTATCCTGTGGGAAGGATGATGTATAAATGCAAGTTGTTATGAAGGAGGTTAGAATGTTCTTTGCGCTGTTTGAACCGTGGTGATCAGTTTTTCTTTTAAAAATCTTGTTTCTTTATTGGATATAATTAGTTGAATTTTCTGAATGTTTTTACAATGGATATCTGATTGTGGGCTATTGTAAATATATATGTTATATATGACCATATATATGACCAGGAGAAATAGGAGATGCGTGATTTGGAGATGCATGTCTGGAAACTGGTCCCTCACTTACACTTGTGAGTGTATGCAAACTGGCAAATGGAAAACAAATAGAGATGTGCATCTTTATCAGCTCAGGCATTTTATAATATATGGTAAATTAGTCAAAATTTTGATTTAGAAGTGTGTCATTTTTCATCTTGTATCTTATTATTTTGTGTTCGACTGGGCATTGTTTTTCATAACTTTTTTGGAAGATCAGACTCCCTTGGGGAGCTCATGAAACTCAAACTGTCAATTTTGTGTTCGACTTACTTTGCTAACTGAACTTTTAAAGAACAAAAGTTGCATGAATGTAATTGTCATGGGTAACTTTCAACAAAGTCAAGAGTCTTACCATGTGCTCAGTTACTAGAATGGATAATCTGAATTAGGATAGATTTTGTTATAACTTGATTAAAATGGAGAAAACTTGTCAAAGAATCAAATCTGTGTTGCACATGACCAGTTATGTTTTAAAAAAATCATGTGTCAAAATATATACTAGAATATTTTTCAATGAAAGATAGTGCTGCGCTCTTTGAACTCAATTAATTGACCTTTGGGAAAGAGTGAATTAATGAAATACTGTATTTTTAGTGGAGCATGAATAAAATATTAAGATCTTTTCAAAGTGAGATTAGAGTTTTGCATTTTGCATTGCCTAAATGCTTATATGGTTTACATATAAGGAAAGTAATTACAAGTGTATCCATTTTTGGAAATTAAATACGCCTAATTTGATATAAGGCTTCCTACTGCAGGCTACAGAACTGCTATAAAAAACTTTACCTTCAGAAATGTAATGCAAGTTGAATTTTTTTTTAAATGCTAAAGCATAAATGCTAAATTGCTCTAGTTATTTGAAAGGAGCCTTTTTGTTCAATGATTGTTTTAATTTTTTTAACATTTTTGGCTTTTTCATTTAAGTTGATAAACTGCTTCTATACTCGAGTATTCTGTTACGATTTCCATTGTTTTGGAGAATAATATTTTCATCAATTTAATATAAAATAGATTAACATGCTTTTTGTAAATAAGTTTGTTTAAGCAAACCCTCTCATTCTGATTAGCTGTCTAGTTATTTATTTTATAATGCAATGAAAAGACTGGTAATAAACCTTTAGCCAAAGGAGTGTATTGGAATAATATACTCTACAAATAAACTTTGACTGAAACTATGTTTTAAATTTTTTACAATATCTGTATTGGAAAATTCACATTCATAGAAATTATAATCTGTTTAAAATTATGTACTTTCTCTTCTGTACTTGGATAAAATTAATATATATGTTCAACAAAGGATAAACATGTAAAACATGGTCTTCTCTACATGAAGAAAAGACAATTTCTTTACCATCCGAGTGCAAATGTTTTCTCGGCTTGGAATGCTTTATATACCATGTGTATGATGGTTGGCCACAAGAATATTTTAATAGTGACAACCTGCTAATCAGCTTTCAGCTTGGTCTCGGAGCAAATTAGTTAGTCTTCTCAATTCTTGCTTACCATTTCTGTGGTCGTTAATTGGATGTCGTATTGTAGTGCTGTGGAAGGCTGGTCTCTTGTGACATGCATGTACTTGGTGAATTGGGAGATACCGCTTCCTTAGAGGGTAAAAACATTGAGTTGTCATAAATGGTTGTTTGCTATCTTACAAGAATATCTATTCTATTCAGAGGTCCACAGTAAAGAGCATTTCTTATTTCAACAGTTCGATAGATGTTATCAAGTCATGTTGTTTGCTGATTGTGGTCTACAGAATGACACAGTAGCCAAGGGAGAACAGTCACTGTAGCAATAATTGGATAACTGACAAACGGTTTGCTATCTTTTAGCATTGAGGAAACCCAACTCAATCATTGTAATATAAGTTGACCTTTGAGATAGGACGCAAAAAAGCTGCAGAAAAGTCCCCCAAAGACCACACAAACTTTCCCCGCGGATCTCCTGGGGTAGACCTTTTCAACACCACCATTCAGTCCCATCCTCCTTCCCTTCACAGAGAAATTCCAGATAAGAGATCATTATATTGCATGGAGAATTTATTCAGGATACAACTATTCTACATCCTCAAACTGTTCCTTATTGAATTGTTCTATAAGGAAATATTGGGGTAGCATCAACTGCTTTTGTTTGAGAGTTTGTTCCACGTGTCCAATACTAAATGGAGCGAAGGTGGAGAATTTCAATTCCTTGTATTGCTTCAGGATTTTAAATTTTAAATTTTAAACCTTATATTTCTTATATTTCCTTTAAAGTGTGCCTCTTAAACCAAAGTATTTATTCAAAGCTTTACACAGTACATTCTCCTGTCTGTGGGAATTTTCTCCCAGATGTTGATTGAAACTCTTCATGTTGAAATATAAAGGAGGTGCCATTGTTGTCTCCAGGGATATGGGTACATTGTGTCTGAAAGTGGATTTTCATTATGCTTCCAGAGGGGACACATTTTTTTCTGTGAGCAAGATGCTTTCTGAGCTGCTGGTTTATTGTGTTAATCTAGAGTTGCGCACTTTAATGGCAACCTCGTTGAATGAAGTAAGTTTAAAAATGTGCTTTTTAAAAACAATTTACTGTGTTTTCTTTTGCATCTTTCTAAAAAGTCAAATTCTGTGCATGTCTGCAGGAGAAATTAGAACAATCTACAAAACTATAAACTGTTTCCTAATTAGGCTTTTTCTCTGAAATAAAACGGTGTTTTATTTTGATGTTGAGACCCAGCTTCAGCACTCAGGATTGAATACCAACTTACACCAAATGTGGGCATTTCTGTGCTGAAGGTTTGTGTTGGCTGAAGCTGTCCAAATTCATTTAGATTTTGACATTCACCAAGTCCTTTGAGAGAAGAGACTTTGATCAACTGTCGGGGCTCATTTTAGTTAGAATCTCAAGTGAAAGAAGAGTGTATTTACTTTTGAAGCTTTGATATCCTTTTATGAAGTCAGATAAGGCAATACTAGCTCTTTAAAATGCAGCATTTTAGTTGGAGCTTTTTCAGTTGCCTTCTCCAGTGAATCTAAAAGGAAATGTAAGGTGCATAAAGGAAGTCTACAAGGAGAAAAAGCAGAAAACGCACCTATCTGCCAGATGTTGTGTACTTAGTCTAGGGTGAAAAGTATGACAGATATATAAGTATAACAATAACACCAGTTTATTTCAGAGAAAGAATTAGGTTGACGGTGCTCAAGGTAGAGGTCTGGATGGGATGCATCCTAGGTTACTGAGCTAGGAAACGTAGTAAATGGTGAGGAGGATACCAAATTATTACTTGCAGTAGCAGACTGCAAGAGGTCATGGACAATCTGGTAAAATGGGCAACCACGTGGCAGATGGAGTTTAATGTGGAGAAATGCGAAGTGATGTATTTTGGGAGCAAGAATAAGGAGAGGCAATATAAGCTGATGGTACAATCTTAAAGGGGGTGAAGGAACAGAGAGACCTGGGGTTTCATATAAGTAAATCTTTGAAGGTGGCAGGACAGGTAGATAAAGCTATTAAAAAAGCATACGGGATACTAGGCTTTATAAATAGGGGCATAGAATACAAAAGTCAGGAAGTTATGATGAACCTTTATAAAACATGGGTTAGGCCTCAGCACCACACTTAAGGAAGGATGTCAAGGCATTGGAGAGGGTGCAAAGGAGATTTACCAGAATGGTACCAGCAATGAGGGAACTCAGTTATCAGGAGACGCTAGAGAAGTTAGGATTATTCTCCTTGGAGCAGAGAAGGTTGAGAGGAGACTTAGAAGTTTTCAAATTA